GGGGCCCGCGGCGCGGCTCGGGTCGGCGCCGGCTCCGGCTGCGGGCTCGCCCTGTGCCTCCTGGCAGCCGTGGTGCGGCGTGCAGGCGCTTGTCGGGAGCGGGGTCAAAGCGGGGCCGAGAAAACCCCAGCTTATTGGCCTTTTTTGTCGTTGTGAGTGCACACGCGAAACCCCCGGGGAGAAACCGGTGACAAGCGGAGCGTTGCTGCGGGTGGCCGGCGTTGGGCACGCCGCCGACGCGGTCTTGCGGAGCTCTGCCAGCCTGCGCGGGAGGCTTCAGCGGGGAAACGGGCCTTCGGACGCGTAAATGAAAACTTCGGAAATAGTCGCGGGAGGCAACTGGGAGAGCATTAACTCTTCCGCTGCAGCATCTCTAGTTTTCATGCTGGTTTAGCGTCCCTGCTGCTGCATTCCATTGCTTGTCACCCTGGCCGTTTCCCTTTGGTGTTTGACGCTTCCAAGCTTGCTTTCTTGGTCCTTGTGAGTCTTCTGGCACTCGGCTGCTTCAGGGTTATAACATGTCCGGGGACCTGCGCTTAGTTTGCCTTAAGCTTGTGTTGATGCCCAAACCTTTGAATAAAAGCCTGTTCTCTGGGTGACCTCTAGCTCGGTGTTCAGGAACGGTCTACGTTGTCAGCTGCTAGGTGTTGCTTGGGGGAATAGGGAGCCCGTTGGCTTTTGTATCAGAATGTCTGGCACAGTCCTCTTCGAAGCTGAAGGCTTTGCTGGGCTATATAGCTCCTTGCATTTGGAAGCAGTTTTGCGAGTCTGATTGTTATTACTTACCTGGTATTGAGGTATTCGGGTTGCTGGATTCAGTATCTCAAGTATCTGAGAGCTGGCTGATGGTTTCCAAATATTGAGAATCTCTGGTTCTAGGCTCTTGAGTTGTTGTAAATTCCCATTCTCCTGCAGCGGGCAGTGAGCCTTGCCACATTAACTATGCTGAGGATACTAATTTTCTCCTGTAATAAAAGCTCCTGTTAAATTCACGGTAACTGAACTGTGTGTTTTAATGCCGTAGGAAAAAGGTGTGGCCTTTGAATCTGGGTTATTGCTCCATGAAGTCGTTGCCAGTGCTACCGATTCTGTTGCTTAGACTTACAGTCTTACGCTGCTGTAACAGCAATTATTTGACCCTGTGGAGCAGAGAATCTTTCAATGCTAAATACGTTGTAGTTAATGAGCGTCTTTGTAGAGCATGATCTTAGCAAGTTGTCGCTGACCCTTTGGACAATTGTATGAAACTTATCTTTTGAGATTCCTCTGTGGTTGTTAACGTGAATTTGTCAGAGATCTCTGCCTGCAAGAACAACCCTCACACTAGTAAAAGGCTTATTTTATTTAAAGGATACTTTGTTGTGGTTATCAACAGAAGGTGAAGGAGCCTGTTCAGTGAACAGCAAAGTCTCAAGTTTTGATGAAAAAGTTCTCGAACAAGAACTGGTGGTTATCAGTAACCTACCAGGAGTGTGGAAGTATGTGAAGAGCATCCTTTACCTCCTACTTGTCTATAAGTATCTTAAGCATGCAGGTTCTGAGTGTAACTCTGTGGTAATACACAGTGACCCTGTGGAGCGTCTTGGACTATTTTTTGCTACCGTGATATTAAGAAACCCAGTTCCTCATATGGAGACATCAGGCATGTGCACCTTGTTTTAATTTCCTGCTAGTCTAAAATGGAGAAAAGACTGCTGGCTTATAGTAACCTTTGTGAAAGTGAATTAACATCTATTTTAAGAAAAGTTATTTGCTCTGAAAAATGCTGCACCACCTTCTTTGAAGAAAGTGGCTATCCTGGATTTTGTGTGTGCTGTATATTTATGTCTTGGGCTCGTGATGTAAGGAGTGTAAATGTCTAGTGCTCACAATGCTAAACCAGGGCAGAGACTTGCAACTTCGTCCTGTCTGTGTGCTCCTCCTTTGGATGTGCTGTCTTAGCAAGGCCACTCTGAAGGACAGAGATCACTCTCTGACTTAGGGCAGATACAGTGATGGTGTAGCTGGCAAATATAAAGCAAGTGGCAGGTTGAGGGAAAAATCTAGGGTTTTTCTGGAAGGCGGGGGGGCAGCTTTTTATTTGTGCCATAGAAAGTTGATTTGTTATACAGGATTCAACCAGAAAACTTCCGGATACAGTAAAAGATTAAGGGGACTATCAGCTTAACAGTTGTGGCAGGTTGACCCTGGCTGGATGCCAGGTGCCCACCAAAGCCATTCTCTCACTCCCCCCTCCTCAGCTGGACAGGGGAGAGAAAAATATAACAAAGGGCTTGTGGGTCGAGATGAGGACAGGAGAGATCACTCACCAATTACTGTCACAGGCAAACCAGACTCAACTTGGGGAAAATTAACTCAATTTATTAACAATCAACCAGAGTAGGGTTATGAGAAATAAAACCAAATCCCAGAACACCTTCCCTCCACCCCTCCCTTCTTCCCGGGCACAACTTCACTCCCAAGTTCTCTATCTACCCCCACCAGTGGCGCAGGGGGACGGGGAATGGGGTTTACAGTCAGTTCATCACACATTATCTCTGCCGCTTCATCCTTCTCAGGGGCAGGACTCATCATACTCTTCTCCTGCTCCAGTGTGGGGTCCCTCCAACGGGAGACAGTCCTCCACAAACTTCTCCAACGTGGGCCCTTTCCACGGGCTGCAGTTCTTCACGAACTGCTCCAGCGTGGGTCCCTTCCACGGCATGCAGTCCTTCAGGAGCACACTGCTCTAGCGTGGGTCCCCCACGAGGTCACAAGTCCTGCCAGAAAACCTGCTCCGTGGACTTCTCTCTCCACAGGTCCACAGGTCCTGCCAGGACCCTGCTCCAGTGCGGCTTCCCATGGGGTCACAGCCTCCTTCGGGCATCCACCTGCTCTGGCATGGGGTCCTCCACGGGCTGCAGGTGGATATCTGCTCCACCGTGGACCTCCATGGACTGCAGGGGGACAGCCTGCCTCACCATGGTCTTCCCCACAGGCTGCAGGGGAATCTCTACTCCGGCGCCTGGAGCACCTCCTCCCCCTCCTTCTTCACTGACCTTGGTGTCTGCAGAGTTGTTTCTCTTACATGTTCTCACTCCTCTCTCCGGCTTCCATTTCTGTCTGTCCCAGCAACTTTTTTTCCATCTTAAATATGTTATCACAGAGGTGCTACCACTGTCACTGATTGTCTCGGCCTTGGCTGGTGGCGAGTCTGTCTTAGAGCCAGCTGGTATTGGCTCTGTCGGACACAGGGGAAGCTTCCAGCAGCTTCTCACAGAAACCACCCCTGTAACCCCCACCTCCTGCTACCAAAACCTTGCCACACAAAGCCAATACAACAGTAAAAGATTAAGAGGACTGTCAGGTTAATGGTTGAGGTTGAGGATGAGTAACCACGTGGGAAGGTCCTCATACCAGCTCAGTTTGGCATAAAGCTTCTAATGATGGATGCATTGCTAGAAGAGTGCACCTCTGTTTGGGGAAGTAAATAATATTGGTTAAAATTACTATGTTGTGAAACTAATGTCTAAACTTTTTTTTTAAATAAAACTTAAAAGATTTTGTTTCCAGTCTTTTTCTTTGTGATTTCCCCCCCCCAATTTTGGGCATAACTCCCTCTAATTTAATTTCACTGATAAGGAATTAGACACCATAAAGAAGCATCTAGACCCATCTGAAGAGTTGAATCAGAGTCTGGTATTATGGTTGGAAAGGCAAAGTTCAGTCTGTATTGTACTAGTGTTCATAGAATCATCGCATAACAGCCCAGCTTGGAAGAAACCTTGACGGGTTGTCTGGCCCAGCCTTTCCTGGGAAAGGCAGCCTGGAAGAGATCATCTAGCACCCTGTCCCATCACATCTTGAAAACCTCCAGTGAGAGGGACTCCACAATGTCCCTGGGGAGGTTGTTCCAGTGAATGATTGTTATCAGTTTCTTTCTGATACTGAGATGAAACCTCTCCTTGTGCAGCTTGTACCTGTTGTCCCTTGTCTTCTCCGTGTGGCTCCTTGTGAAGAGAGAGCCTCCATCCTCTTTGTAGCTGCCCTTCAAGTACTGGACTACTGTGATGTGGGCCCCACTGAGCCTTCTCTTCTCCAGGCAGGAGAGACCTACCTCCTTCAGTCTTTCCTCATAGGGCAGGCTCTGCAGCCCTTTGGTCATCTTCATGGCCCTCCTTTGGATCTCCTCCAGACTGTTTTATCTAATTACTGTGGCATTTTGCTTGTTTGGGTTACAAAAAGTCTTGTTAAAAGTTTCATGTTTTTTGTTTTATTATTGTATTATTTCTTGAGCATATTAAATTGAAAGACTTGAAGCAAGCCTAGTCTTCAATCTTGCAATATATAAAAAGCTTTACAGTAGTCTGAGAGACTTCTTTTGGTGTTATGTTTTGATGTTAGAGTGGAAGATTTACTCACAAAGTTCTGTAAGTCAGCATTTTTTTAGTTCTTCACTGCCTTTTCCAGAGGAGTTTTTACTTAATTTCTGGAGATGTTTTCAATTTGAAACAAACCTCCTAAGAGGACTTTGCTGGATAATCCCATACTTTGACCTTTCAGATTGAAACTATTGTGAATTGACACAACTTTAAGGAGACTATTAAAGACTATCTTAAAGACTATCTTTCTTTAAGGAGAAAATGGACTCCTATTTTATAGCCTGCCAAAACCTACACTTTTGACCTTAATGATGTACTTTTTCTCTTTTACTGACTGTGTTGTTTTGTGATTTTTAGACTGTATGCTGAGCATTTGGGTAGAGGCTGTTTGTAGGTATTACAGCTCTTATAACTGCACCACTTAATGTTAACTCAGTTCATTCTTAGCACAGTGGCCAAACTGCATTTGCCAGCTCTTTATTCAAAAGGCCCAGTTGCAGAGCTTGCATTCTTTGCTGGTCCAGGCAAATTAAATTTGTTGACCATGCAGTAATAAGGTCTGTTCTGTTGAAATCTCTAAACCTTTGTTACTAAAATCTCTAAAAGGTTT